TAAAAGCATTGAACCGGTAATTATCGGTTTACTCAAATTAGCAATAAATACTTATAATTCAGTGATTTTGACTTATTTCAGTAATTCTTTGTTGTTCTTCATCATCTTTGAAATATGAAAACTTAACATATGTTTGTTATTTTATTGTATGAGATTATGAATAATATTAAAGAGTGAATACTTGCCTACTCTGTGGTACTCAGGGTTTCTAGATTGGGAGTGTTTATCGTTATTTTGGGGAAAAATATGAACTTGGAGAAATTAAATCTACGGGGAGAACTTTAAGAATCATATTTTTTCTTAGAGCATGCCTAAGTTTTTTTTGGCAAAAGGCTGGGGGAAAGCCGCCACTTTTAAAATTAAATTTAAAACTAGGTACCGACTAGATTTTGGTAGCTACCGAAAAATCTTTAAGGGTGATTAGTGACGATAGAACGTGTCGAGTTTGAGCCGAGCTTCAGCCGCGTAACACGGTCACCGAGCCGGTCCCGAATTTGTAATTTACAAAGACGTACCTCGACCGAGCAATTAGGTAGGTACCGTTGCGCCGTGATGCAGTATTATCATTCAGATAAAGTAAACACGGTAAGTGTACTCGTCCGAGGAAAACGTTTGTTTTGTCTGAGCTATCACTACGATTGCCCGGCGGCACCGCGCCGGCGCTGTATTCATGCAACGGGCAGTGGCCGAGCCGAAGCGAGACCAAGTTTTTTCGTTTTTTCCGAGCGTTGTTTCATTTGGTGCTCGGTTGTCAGAGGGTTACCGCACGGAATAGCGTGAATGTGTCCATAATCCATAAAAAATATACTATGTAATATTAATTATTAGTTGACTAGAAGAGCTCGATGGCGCAGGTAGTCAGCGCGTTCGGCTGCGATCGTTGAAGTTAAGCAACTTTCGCAGTGGTCGGTCATTGGATGGGTGACCAAAAATCTTCTATCTGGAGTTTCTCCCGGCTGCATCTGCAGTCGTTAGCACCCGCCAATCCGCACTGAGCCCGCGTGGTGGGTCATGGCCCAATCTTCCTATTCCATCCATAGGGAAGGCCTGTGCCCCAGCAATGGAGACATTAATAGGCTGATGATGATGATGATGATGATGATTCGTTAACTCTGCTACGGCCGAAACGGTCTAACATGAATCATCCTTGAAAATTTCCTATTGTCAGAGGTTGTAATTATCCCCTCGGCTGTTTTGTGAAGATTTTGTACTCATTTATTTTATAATCCGAGATGCGTAACCTATTTTTTATCTTTTTTTGTTTCTATCAGTTTTTGGCGATATCGTCCCAAATCCCAATTATTCATTTGGTGAATGCCAAACACTTTCGGATATATAAAAGCAAACTTCTCAATTACAAACAGTAGGAATTTATTTCGTGTTAGGTTATTATTAGCTTATAAAAGGTGGGAAATAAAATCATTTCTAACAAATATTAAAAATTGCTTCATAAAAACAAAGCACTAAAAACAAAGGAACAAATAATAAATTAAAGTCCTACATTTTAGTCAAAATAACATTTGGATAGGAATTGGTGATTGAAATGCATATCACTGACACCATACCTATTATTTGTTAATTATTTGACTATGTACTTTAGATATAAGTAGGTACTGTAGGTATTACTTAAGGAATTAGCACATAGATATCTTACCTCTTTAGCTTGTTTTTTATATGAAGTGGATTTTTATTTATGTTAAAAAAGATTTGACCTTAAATTATTTAGTATTTTATACAAGATCTACGTATACATTACCTACGAAGGGCCACAATAACGCAAGTGTAACGCGTTCGTTCTGCGATCGTGAAGTTAAGCAACTTTCACAATGGCCGATCTTATAATGGGTGACCAACCAAAAATGTATTAATTCGAGTTTCTATGTTGCTGCTCGCTGCATCTGCAGTCATTAGCCTAAGCTGCATTAGGCCTGCGTAGTGACTCATGACACATTAATAGGCTCATAATAAATCCGCATCGTAACATAGACTTAAATACCTTTAAAAAAAATTAAAGAGATAGCTAATATATTATTATCACCGTCGTCGTTCATTATTGTATAAAATTTATGGCTTTTTTAACGAAATAAACCCATATCCAACCTTAACAACAAGTTTAAAATTTAAGTACATCAATCATTTACCTACTATTTGGCCCGATTATTCACATTTAAATTTAGAGAGGATCTCCGTAGGTCCTTCTGAAATTTAGTGTGACATTTCTAATTTTAGAGAAAATTATGACATTTAGAACGCGTTTCAGAATACCATTTAATCATCTAAATCTAAGTTGAATAACTTAGCAACGTCAATTTTAAATTTAGAGATAGGGTGTCATTACAGAATACCAAATTGAATTTGACAACTCTATATCTAATTTTAGTTAGTTTTAGATATAAGTTGGCACGCCAGAATTGGGTCCACTATATCGTAAGCATCTAATCGCCGTGTATTATACAGGGTGTCCCGTAAGTAATGGTCCAACCATAAACCCTAGATAGGTCACTCAATTGCCTACAACTAATTTGAACCGTTTTTTGAAATTCATTAGGGTTGCCAAAAAAAATGATAAAAGGTTTTTTTTTCAATATTTCTGTCTTGAATTGGTTTTTTTAATAGCATTGATGCAAATATTAAAAATTTTCAAACTTTTTTTCGCTAATGTGTAGCTAGATAGATTGCCTATCAACTCGTTTATCACATTTGCATAATGACATTGTATTTCTCTCAAAAATATTGAAGTAACTTAACATTTTATTGCATTTTATTTGGATGACCTAAATTGAAAAGCTCCTAATGTAAAAAAAAGTATGACACCAAAGTGTTCCATTATTTTAAAAACATGTGCATTAAGTAAGGTTTCAAAATTGGTATAAAACTTATGGTTAACTAGTAAAGTTGCAAACATAATACAATGAATCCGAAGAAGAGGCAAATATCTAAAAAAAACTAAATTGATTAAATTAGTATTTAGTTGTGTTATTTCACATTATTAGGAATGTCTTCACGTTAATCAACATGATGATTATACTGATATTAGCTTTTATGGCACTAATTTGTGTAAACGACGGGTAAAATAAGATCTTTAGAAATAAAAGCAAAAAACCGTTATAATTTTATAATAAATGCTTAAATTGCCTTCCGCCTACAGCTATGCACATTCTGCTCCCCCTTGTACACGTTGTAGATGGTACGGGTGCAAACGGTATCTTTTTAAAACCCTGTGCACCGATGCTCTAGGTATTCCAGAACGTCGTGCTGTAGTTCGAACTGACGTTGATGCATCTTCTTGTACTTGTTGCAAAATTATTTCGTCATTGACTTGCTGTGGTCTTCCTTCACCAACACCAACTCCAGTACCAAGAATCCTTCCATCAAGTAGCGAGTTATGCACTCTAAGCAAAAATTCGGTGGTCAGGGTGACGAAAATTCTGGTACCTTTCTCGGTACAATCTTGCAGCTTCTCTGGCATTACCTCTTGCTTCTCCATAGGTGTAATGCATCATAGTATATTCACGAGGTGTTGCGAGGCATTGCAAAGTTCAGAGATTCAACAACCCCAAACAAACAGATTTTCGGAGTCCAATAGACTCGCCAAGTCGTTAAGTCTATAAAAAACAAACAGTCCAAATTCGATAGGTAATTCGTAAAGTCCAAATTCACAACAGTCTCGGCGGAGCGCGACGTGGCACTGCGTAGATTTGTCTTGCCAAGATTGGTTAGCGGTGTGTAAATGACATTATTTTTCTGTGTGCGTGCGTCGATTCGAGGGCTAGTATGATCAAAGTACTACTCTTGTGTACTGTGCGCGTAGTGTCGTTAAAACATTCCTAATAATGAAAAAATGCACAACTAGACACTAATTAAATTTAATTATATTTTTCTAAGATATTTGCCTCTTCTTCGGATTCATTGTATTATGTTTGCAACTTTACTAGTTAACCATAAGTTTTATACCAATTTTGAAACCTTACTTAATGCACATGTTTTTAAAATAATGGAACACTTTGGTGTCATACTTTTTTTTTACATTAGGAGCTTTTCAATTTAGGTCATCCAAATAAAATACAATAAAATGTTAAGTTACTTCAATATTTTTGAGAGAAATACAATGTCATTATGCAAATGTGATAAACGAGTTGATAGTCAATTTATCTAGCTACATTTTAGCGAAAAAAAGTTTGAAAATTTTTAATATTTGCGTCAATGCCATTAAAAAAACCAATTCAAGACAGAAATATTGAAAAAAAAAAACATTTTATCATTTTTTTTGGCAACCCTAATGAATTTCAAAAAACGGTTCAAATTAGTTGTAGGCAATCAAGTGAACAACCTAGGGTTTACGGTTGGACCATTACTTACGGGACAACCTGTATGTAACTATGCCAATGGTGATTCTGCCATGGTTCTCTAAACCTGAACTTAAATTTGACAACAGTGCATCCTTGTCTTTCTCTATACTGAATGAAAAAGAGAGACTGATGTAAAATTTAGTTTTAAGTTTAGAGAATCGCGTCAGAATCGATGCCTTTTTTGTACTTATGATTTCTATTATACTCAAAATTCTTATATATAAAATTCAGTTTTGTCGGTCATCCTCGTTTATAAATATTGTTGTCAATTCTGGCGTGATTCTCTAAACTTAAAACTAAAAACATCAGTCTCTCCTTTTTATTCTGTATAGAGAATGGAAAGGATGCCCTGTTGTCAAAAAGTTTAGCTTTAGAGAATCATGCCAGAATCGACATCATTTATTGTGCTTGATTCTACGGTTTTGTCTAAAAAGTTAAATTTCTATTTTGCTTTTTCACTGCATTTTTATTTCTGTGAGAAATTTAAACAAATTTGCATTAAAAAAATAGAAAAAAACACATTAAATAGTAGGAAAAACAAGAGTACTAATAAAAAATGCTCAAAAATAAATAAAGAATAAGCTGTATGAGCATTGTTCTTTTAGCCTTCCCAGAAAAAGAAGAACTTAAAAAAAACAAGAAAATAACGTCAAAATTGCCAAGTGACATTACAATCCAGTTACATCAGATAATTTACCAATAAATTATTTTTTTACTGTTATAGGAAACAGTAAATTAGAAAAACGTCTTTAATTTATGAATCCCCATTATCTAAAAATTAATTAAATGGCATCATCTCGTATTCAGGTAATCTATTTATTTTTCTTGGATCCTGTAAATATGAGTCGCGTCACGTCATTGAAAAGCGTCGCAATTCTTTCAGGCTACTTTACGTCAATTATCGAAAACTTACAAGAAAAAAAGTAGATTTGATATTGGCATAGCTTCTGAGTTACCTGCTGCTTATAAGAAGTTTTGGCGAGAATGGAAAGTTCTCAAACCTGCTGCCGTTCACTTTGTACCTCAAGAGGGCAAATGGAAACGCGACGAGCTAACTGGAGAAACAATGCCTATACAGAACGTCCCAATACCATTGAAACATCCAGCGGAACTTCATGAAGGCATATGGGGCGGGGAAGCAGTCATCAAAGGTACTTTCCAAAATCTTTTGGCCATTTTTCTTACATGGAGGTTATGTTAGATGATCCTGTCAATGAAAAGATTGGTTAAATTTTATTTTTTGTTGAAAAAATATTTACTAATTTCCAATCAATAACTTGAAAGAAATATTTTAGGTCATTTTGAGAAAATTTTACCAATAAAGCCCACTCTGTACAAATGACAGGATAGCTTTAAGCTTCTACTTTTTTTACAAAAATCACATAAATATTAGCTGTTTCTGGTAATATATGCTAATAATTATTTTAAGTAGTTTCTGAGATATATTGAATCGGCCAATTTGATCCCAGACCCACCTAACCCACTTGTTACTAGCTTTCCTTTAACGGACCACAGTAAAGAAAAAATAATATGCATCATGTGGGTAGTTTTTTTCTCACTTTGATGTTTCTAGTGTGTTTTGAATGATTGTAGTTAGCAGTTATAAACTTCATTTATTATTTCGTGTGATTCTGTGTTATTATATTGAACTGTGACTATTTTGGTATTTTCATCATGAGTGAGCACAGGTACGTATCAGTTCAATTTTATAGGTTATTTATATTTTATAAATTTTAATATAGGAAATATGACCCTTCTCTATTTATATTTCGTATTTTGAGTAACAAATATACACGATTATTTATATAATTTGATAGTTTTTACAAGTGTTCCTTATAAGGACCAATAGTAAAATGCCCTACTGTGACTGATATATACTAATAGTTCTGACTGTGTTCTATTTTTAGTCCGAAAAAAGAACTTGAAGCTAAATGAAATATCGGAAGAGTTAGAATGTAATATGAATGACTCAATCCCGGATTACATATCAATTTTGCCACCTAAAAATTTCAAGGCTGGTACAGATGAGGATTCTTGTGCCGAAAATCAAGTGTCGTTATCAAATTTGCCTGGATCCCAGCTTCGACGTGAAGCTGAAATACATCGTAGTGAGCAAATGAAGATGAAGATCACGTACCTATCGCTCAGTTAGCTAAACGTAGACGGGTTATAACGGACAAAGATGACGAGTGTCCTAGTACGTCTGCTATCCACAGACTGAATCACAGACAGTAGAAACGTTCTTTCCCCAAACTTCTTCAACGCCACTTGTTTCTAAGAACAAAAGTTATAATTGGACCAAACGAGACATTCGCCCCACACATGATCCCTGGATTGAAAAGCAAGGTGCACCAATACAAAAACACCCTGTCTATTTTCTTGATTGTTTATTTGATGGCGATGGCTTATAAACAATTTACAGGTGGGGCTATAAGTTTTGGGCTGGAAGTATTTGCCTTGGCTACATATTGTGGTTGGAGTCATACCAAGAGCAGTATACTGAAATTCATCTTGAATTCAAGAAGATGGGCCTAGGAGCTAGTGTAATCTTGCAATATGCCGAGATCCTTCGAAAAATTGATTCGAGAGAGAGAAGGTACTCGAAAAAGGTTGTAGAGTTTCGTAGAGCTATCATGAGGAGTTGCGATATAATAACAGAGGCCATATCATATCATATCATATCATCAGCTACAAGTAAGAACGACTCAGGTGTGCTGTGTGTCACAAAAAAGCTAAGTTTACTTGTGTCAAATGTGAAGTAAGCTTGCATACTAAATTATGTTGAACAAATTTCATACCTCATATAATTCAAACTGATAGTTCTTTTTCCCTTCGAGTAATAAATAATAATAAATAATATTACTGCAATATAATTCTGTTTCATTGTTTATTTATATATTTAATTGCAAATAAATGTATTTTCAAGAATGCACACAAATATGACCTGATAGTAGCGTAAATTACTAGTGGGCCTTAAAAGGAACACCCATTTCCCGCTTTTCCGACATCGATATTTTATTTTTCATATTTTTCTGTTAAAATTTTAAGCAAGTCAAACGTCATATCAAAAAATCATATTAATATCGGATCCTAATTTTTCCCGTAATAAGTGGGTTAAAAATATTTTCTTACCACCATTGCTAAACATTAAGGTTGATTTTTGCTTAATCATACTTAGTCTTATAATTATCACTGGCAACAAACTTGTTGTTTTCAGAACAATCTTATTTGATAATAAGATATGTAACAGATTTTGCTGCCTTCCTGTGCAATAATGTTGACATTACACCATTTGTAGTTTTCCCCATGGACATAGGATTTCCTTATTATGTTACCAATTTTTTTAATAAAATCAAGAAATTGAAAGTTTCTTTAAAAAATATATAGCTTAACCTACATAAATAAATAATTTACAACATAAAAAATATATCACCCCCAGCGCCGCCATCAGGAATGGTGCCCAATAGTATGGCAGCCTGGATGACAAAGAGTCTTTTATATATTTATGTTTATTAAAGTGATTTCCAAGTTCAAACAATGAACCAGCATTTAAAACAAAGTTCAATTTTCAGAAGCCTTTGATCCACATTAATACAGTTTCCTGGTAGTGAGGAGGTACTAATGCAAAAATGCATTAAAGAAAACTTGTCTGTTCTGACATTTTTAAGCAAATTATTAGGCAAGTGTGTCAGGAATAAATTTTTTCAATAGTACATACACTTATACCCAACTGCTACTTGAGATCATCCTTTTTTGTCAAATTGATAACATCCTTTTTTAAGACAGTTAAAAACATTTGATGTAGTTCTTCATAAAGTTAAAGCAAAATCAGTTTGTCATCATTTTCACAGGTTTCCAAAAACGTGACAGGAACACACGCAGAGTGCCTCATTACTGGGTACCAGTCTTGAAGAGAACAGTTGTACGTTCAGAGGTTCTCAACACTCACCTCTCAGTAACAGTCACAGATAGAACTATTCAACTTATTAATGATCACTATGGGTTTGATCACTATTTGTTGAAGACACCAGCTTGTGACCTTGTCTCAATGTTGGCATTGAAATTAAAAAAGCAGATACTGACTGAATTGATGAATGGATGCCCTAGATATGCTAATAACCCCGATAAACAAAAGGAAATTTATGAGGAGTATAGAACTTATTTAACATCAGTAAGTCATCAAAGCAATTTTGGATTTTGTTTCAATTCTATGTCTTTCATTTCCAATATGTCTATTTTATGCTGGCACTTCACTTTGCTATTCATATTTTCTATTTGTAAACTTGACAAAAGTCTGTGCTTATCATGCTTTATGACCTATGAAAAGGACAAACTTATGTCAAGTTTACAAAATAACAAATACAAATGGGTATTTTTAAATGCACAGCAGATAACTTATTACCCATCAAGTTATTTACAACAATTAAATACTTTTTACATCAAAATAAGTATTTTACTGCAAACAAAACATTTGTTGAACAAAAGTAATGCTGAAAATAATTCAAAAATTTACATCTAATCTGTTGTAACAAAAAACTTGTTTAATAGAACAGAAATATGATTTTCATATCAAATATACTGATTGCACAGCAAATATACCAATTTCACAGAAAATTAACAGGGCTACGACATAAAATACTTACACACATAACAAAAAATCTACAACAATTTTTGCAACAGGTTTCCCATTAAGCATTTCAAAACTTGCTCAACATTGGGACACTTTTGATGGTTTTAAAAAAAAGCGAGTATGCTTATGATCACACAACTTAACCTGAAATCATAAACTTAACCTGAAGATTTGTTGATAGAAAAAATACCACTAATCCGCGCTGGGTCCGTTATCATCCGCCAATCCGCACTAGGTGCAGTATCACCCACCAATCCGCGTTGGGTCCGTTATCACCCATCAATCCGCACTGGGTCCGTTATCATCCACCAATCCGCCTGGGTCCGTTATGAACCACCAATCCGCGCTGGGTCTGTTATCACCCACCAATCCGCACTGGGTCCATTGTCACCCACCAATTCGCGCCGAGTCCGTTATCACCCACCAATCCGCACTGGGTCCATTATCACCCATTATTCCGCGCTGAGTCCGTTATTACCCACCAATCCGCGCTGGGTCCGTTATCACCCACCAATCCGTGCTTTGTCCGTTATCACCCACCAATCCGCGCTGGGTCCGTTATCACCCACTAAGCACTAGATTCATGTATTTTGTGACGGGTATTGTTCATTGTTTACTGATGAGTCACCTATGACACTAATCGTAACACATTCGCCAGTATACCCCCCAAGTCAAGCTTGCCTAAAGAAGTTTCACTTCAATAACTAGATTCTTATGTCAATTAAAATGGTGTTTCACTTAGGTGAGCTGCTGTATGAGATAAAATTATGGCAGCTTTGTTTAAAAAAAATGATGTAATAGATTTGTTGTGAGGTGGTTATTATTAACTATGCATTGTTAAAAAAGCTTGTTTTAAATAGTGATGCAACACTGATTTAAATTGTTACTAATATAACAATATTTTGAGGTGACTATTTTGCTGTGCAATAAGTATTTTTGCTTAGGATTGGGAATAAATTTTTATACAAAATGTAAATTTTTTGATTTGCAGTTAAATACTAGCCAAATACAAATAACAACAGTGTATTTCTTTCCTTAGTTGTATAAGAGTACTTAGTACATAATTAGTATAAAATACAGAATTTAATTTTTGTAGTATACACCAGAAGAAATTGAATGGTATGGTCTTTCATGGTATGAGGCTCTGACAAAGGTTGCTAAACAAAAGGAAGCTAATAAACCAATACCTCTTAAGAATGTATATAGAAAAAACCTTGTAGAAAAATTAAAGGAGGCAGGATTAGAGGAAGGCTCAAGTTCTGCTGAGGAAATGTCGTAAGTGGTTGATAAAATTAAATAATGGAATCTATTTTTAATTATATTCTATAACATAGTATAGGAAATAAATCTGTTTGTAAATTTTACGATATAAAATATTTTTTCAGGAGTGCAACATCATGGTTATCCAAAATGAACCCATTTGGAAAAAAGGATGAAGCTTAATGTGAAAATTGCATGACAATTGTTAAAATATATAAATTATTGTGAAAACACAATAATTTATATATTTTGACAATTGCTTAATTTAGCTAAAAAGCTAAAATGTAATGATTTCAAGTAGATAGATGTTCATTGTCAAATAGGTTTGTTGTTTTTGATTTGATCCTATTTCTGTTACATTATTAGTGTAGATAAAAAGAATAAAAAATGTTCAGTTGCATTATTGTATTAATATTTTTGATAGTAAACAAACTTGGAACAAAACATGCTGGAAGAGCACTAATATGAAAGAAATCCATGGTAGTAGTAGAACTGATCAAATACAGTATATATAATAAAAAAGTCATGTATATAAAATAAAAGACTATTTAAAACATAATAGATTTATTTAAGCCTGTAAGTATATAAAATCTTCACAATCAAATCAACTAAATACATTTAATATTACATTATGCAAATTAAACATTAATATTTTAACTTTCAATACTACTGACATAACTTGCTTTGTTTGATACAATTCTGTCACAGATTTACATAACACAGGCACTGATCATATTGCAAAAATGGATGTGGTACCTATTACTGTAGTAATAACAATATTTTGTTACTATTTATTCCAAAAGTAAAAAATTCATATAGCATTTGATACTATGTTTGTATTACATGAAATAGATAATAATTATATAAAAATAGTCGTCCATCTAAAGTCTGCCTCCAATAAATCAATTGTTAAATGAATTGCAATCATTATAATACTAAATCTACAATCTACAGCATAAACGTTATATGGCATATCCATGCTCTCTACACAAAGCAACCACTATTTCGTAGAATAGGCGAATCGATTTTCCGTACATACCTAGTACCTAGACTAAGAACTCAAGGAACGGCTTTTAGCCGCACCAGCCGCTGGTTGCCGCTTAGCTGTTTTATTCCAAAACTTACGAGACCGCAGTTTTATGCGGTTCCGCAGCCGCCGCCGCGGCAAAGGAAACGCTCGTTAACTTAGGCTCAAATTATACCACCGCGGAATGGAAACGGAAGTGAATTTTGCAATGAAATTGTGCATGAAAATATAAATTGTTTACCATAAAACTAAATTAGAGCTAAAGGGAATTCTCGAGACTCGCGCTAGGATTCCACGGAATGGAAACGGAAGCGAATTTTGCAATGAAATTGTGCATGAAAATATAAATTTTGCTTAGCATAAAACTAAATTGGAGCTTAGTTAGGGGAATTCTCGAGAATGCGCAAGGATTCCACGGAAGACGCGCGACTTTTATGGCTCTTATTTAATTTATGTGTCATACAATAAAGTTCATCATCGTTTGTATGTTATACAATTGACCTAAAGTTCGTTATGCTATGCATCGTTGCAATAAGTCGCTTTCATGGCTCAATTTCGCCGCGGAATGGCATGAAAGCGACTTATTTATACATCACGTTGTGGAGATAATGTTGAATTTGCCATGTTACATTTCTGAAATTCGCTTCGACTCTGCGCTGGTGTGAAATGACCATTAACAAGAAGAGGCGCGAATACAACGCGTTCCGTGAATTCAGAGCCTTACATACCTAATTGCACCCAATGAAGTTGAAAGTGGCAAAAGACCATCTCTAAGGTCTCTTTATCTTCATACCAAGATTCATCAAAATCGGTTCAGCAGTTTAGAAATGTAACAGAGTTATTTTCGCCTAAGCCTAAGTATATAAATCGAAAGGTATTCGTATGAGCGCTTTTTCTAAGCCCTGTGTTGACGTTTACAACTTTACGTCCAAAGCTCACCGTCCAAATCGGAACATTGACCGATAATAAGAAATCAAAAAAGCGTCTACACTCAGGGAAAAGCTTTTAGTCTATCTTTTCGAAGCATCAGAAATAAAATAACAATGAAATGCAGCGCTTGTGTGCGTATGGGGTCATACCGCATACGTCATGTTACCGTAGTTGCAGGCGGTTATTGTGAAGTTTGGTCAAGGCGCACTGTACGACGCCATAAGTCATGGTACCATGACTGTTAACTACTGTGGTTAAATTGCGAGGTAACCAGACCCGTCTTTCCCAGTGGGCACTTTGGGCAGGTGCCCAGGGCCCCGCGATTGATAGAGGGCCCTCTCAGATCAAATGCAAAGTCCCTAGTTCCTGTTTAATCACCAAACGGAAGTCATAGGGGCCCCGTTATGCTAATATGCCCAGGGCCTCCAATAGGTCAAAGACGGCACTGGAGGTAACAATGGACGTATTGTATGGGGTCATACCCAGAACAAGAACTAAAGCATATAAAGTGTTTAACTCGTAAAGTAGACTTATATAGTTATTTTATTTTTATAATATGACCCATCATATATTTGTCCCTTTTTTGCTTTAATATGAACAGCGTGCGTACCGCTATACAAACTTCAAATTGGATACCTTTGTATGGCTAGTTACGTCAAAATGGATACCTTGGTTACCTTTACGATACCGAATCAAAAAGCGATCTAATGTCACATACAACCTGCCACAACGCCGCCTAATACTTTTTGTTCCTGTCATACTTTGTTTAGAAATGTTTTCGTTAATCTATTGCGCGTACAAACGTCTTAAGCATAACTTCTATGGTTTAGTTCTTGTTCTGAGGGGCATAAGTCTTCAAGTCGTAGCTGCTGTCTGTAATTCCGAGTTTGCAGTGAAGGCGCATTTTCATACGTCATGATTTAAGTACGAAGTATTGACGTAAGAATACGTCAATGTACCATAACTGCCGCTAGGGGCGCTGTCGTTCAGATGTTGGCAACCCCCCCCCCCCCCCCCCCCCCCCCCATACTAACATGCCTCAGCCACCAACCATCCCCCCGACAGATTTAGCACTATAAAATGTTACGTCAATGTCATGGTATCGAAGTTACTGTGGTTATAACGGGGTTTAAGTGCCGGCGTATTGTTAAGTCACGATTTAGATGTCCCCCCCCCCATACCAACTTGGCCCTACCCCCTACCATTCCCCCTCCACATTTAGCGATATAAAATGTTACGGTAGCTGAGCTACTGTCTACTTTGTTTATGACGGGGTTTCAGATGGGGGGGGGGGGGGGGGGGGGGGGTTATTCCGAGGTTGAAGTGCGAGCTAGCTGCTATCGGTTATTGCAAGGTTTACGAAAGAGCACATTGTATGGGCTGTACTAACCATACTAACGTCCCCCACCACCGACCAACCCCCGACAGATTTCGCGCTATAAAATGTTATGTCAATGTCATGGTATCGAAGCTACTGTGGTTATGACGGGGTTTGAAGATGGGGGGTTTTCCGTGGTTGAAATGCGGGCGTATTGTTATAGGCCACGATTTAGCTGCTATCGGTTATTGCAGGGTTTAAGAAAGAGCACATTGTATGGGCTCGTGGGTAGGCATACGGTCAGCCAGTAAAGCTGCAACAGCTCGCGCCAAATACGTCATTGTACCATAACTGCCGCTAGGGGCGCTGTCGTACAGATGTTGGCAGACCCCGGCCGCCCCCCCGCATACTAACGTGCCCCCACCCCCTACCATCCCCCCTCCAGATTTGGCGCAACATAATGTGGCGTCCCCGTTGCAACGCATCTGTAATAAGAAAGGAATAATAAATAAATATTTCCAACACTCACCAATTAGCCTAGCCCCAAAGTAAGCACTGTAAGGTTATGGGCACGGAGCACCCCCACTAGAGTCCGCTTACAAGGGCAAGCGCTTACGCCAAGCTTAAGTAGTATTTTACCTATGCGTGAGGCACGCCTACAGTCGTCGCGATACATCTTTTCATTCGGTAACCCAGCGTCGGTGGAACTGCTTCTCTCGTTTTCGTGTTAAAAAACTGTAAAAAATGCCGTACTGTGCAATTAAATTGTGTGGAAAGTCGAGTACAACTTCCAGTCTTCAAAAAAATGGTATTACTTTTCACTGGTTAGTTTAAATGCATTACAAAAAGACAAAAATACTGTAATATTAAATTGCTGTTAATTGTATTTATTTTTTGGTTAACGCGTTGATGTCTTTTTACACTATCCCTTTCTCGCATGGGCTACATCATATATGCTATCTCGCTCTCACACCGGCACGTGTATTGCTAGTGATTCAGACGCAGCTCATGTCTCAACGCGTAAGTTTATCGATAAGTTTGTCAGCTATGGAAATGGAAAAAAAAAATAAAAACTATTTATTTCATCGTATACAATAATAGATGTCATAAGTATACAACCAACAGTTTTTATTTGACTTCAAACATATCCTAATAAAATTGAAAAAACGCGAAAATTTGTATGCATATTTGTTACTCTTTCACGCTAAAACGGTTAAACGGATTTGTATGAAATTAAGTGCGCATAGTTTATGACCTAGATGAAGATATAGAATTAACGATATTAAATACCCTAGATACACCACGAGCGCTCAAAATGTGTCCCAATCAAGAAGTGCTTGAACTCCACTCAAGCACTTCTTAGTACACAGTCACACGCGGACCGTTGAAAAGTCAAGATGCCAAAGAGTTCCGTGAAAAAATGCAGAAAAATACTAATAGTACGTAAAGTGTCGTTTTTTCGACGGGTATCTAATTAATGTTTTTTAATTAACGCCTTTAAAGCAAATTTTATTGTTGTAATACTTACTATAAACTGATTTAATTTAACGTTTTACGTCGCCCTTAGCCATCTCTTTTCTTCGCGGTCTGTACCTGCTATATTGCTAACAGCGCATTCAGAATTGCGCGTGAAAAGTCAAAAAAAATAAGGTCTATATTCTTTCACATATAACAATAAATCGTAAAATTTTACGAACTTGACGCATGCATTTTAATTAAGACCTTATGCCGTATGCATTAAAGGTGACTTTCAATAATTAAATAAGGCATTATATTGTTTTTGACCACGCGATCATCTTACGGACCTCCGTGGATCGTCCAATCTACCTTTTGGACACGTTTCGGCCACGATTTTGTTCGTGTTGTTGTATCTAGGGCAGTTAATATCGTTACGTTAATACTTCTTGTCCTGGACGTGTTTTTTTTTTGTGTTGCTTATATATAATTTAGTATGTAGTTACTAGTCGCGTCATGTAATTAGAACGCTGGAAGAAAGTGGAGAGGGTATGATTACGCATTTGCGCACCAAAGTACTAGGCCTCTATTCTAAATTGTTTATCGATAGAAAATATCGATATTTTCTAAAATCGATCTTACCCTCATCACTTCGCTGCACTGAGTATATGATCTGACCTTGACGCGTCCAATCACAGCGGGGCTGACCTCCCTGCACCCCACCGACTTTGGCAATTTTGATTCCAAACAAAATTTGTGTGATGCGGACTCTAGTGGGGGTGCTCCATGGTTATGGGATAATAGGGTAACGGATAGAATACATATACAGTACATACATAAGTATATTTATATAGAAATACATATTAAACATCCGTGACTGGAGTACAAATGCTCGTGTTCATCACACAAACGTCTGCCCCCACCGCGATTTGAAGTCTCGAGTCGGCACCATGAAACCCGGCGTACAAACCACTCGACTACGGAGGTCGTCAAAATTACTTTGGATTATCAAATTTTCTGTAATGTAAAAGGGAAATGACTCTTAGTAAGGCCAACCAGAAGTGATACAAAATGAAAACAAAGTCGCTGAAAGGTCATTAGACAGTACAGGCGTTGGCAATATTTTTGAAAGTAACATTTTTTTTATTTATGAATTTTAACATAGGACTTTTATAATTTTAATAGGCATAGGTATATTTTTTTATTAAATTAAATGTAAATACAACATTAAAACATTATTTGTACTAAATCAAAAAGTAATGTTATTATTACGAGTAGTAAAGACACTGAACCGAAAGACACGGAACGAAATGAACATATGTTATTATTTTTTACTATATAATAGCTGCCCGATTGTTGGCGAACTCGGCGCCTCGACGACCCCTAGCACGAACCATTATCGAATTCGAATAGTTTGCGAGTGCGAAATGTCATTGTCAAATTTTGTATGGTAACTTGAACAGCAGCGCCACAATGGACGTAACGAGAACCTAAAAATCAGTACACATTTGACAATGACATTTCGCACTCGCAAATGTTACGAATTCGAGATTGGTTCGTGCTAAGAGTACAGGTCACATGACCGAACGAGACCTTATGTTATAAGATGAAAGAGATAGTTATTAGACAGTCAGTCCCATAGTCTCGTCTAAGGTGAATGAACTTTTGTATCGCTTCTCGTTGGCCGGACTTTTTAACAGTGATGTCAGCCTCCAATTTTCCTCTTAAGATTGCACTCATGTAGGAGAAGTAAATTAACGTGTAAGTTTGAATTAAGTTGATGTCACATTCACTTCACATTGTGTGATGAATACGAGCATTTGTACTCCAGTCATGGATGTTTAATATGTATTTATATAAATATACTTATATATGTACAGTATATGTATTCTATCCGTTACCCTAGCATCCCATAACACAAGCCTTACAGTGCTTACTTTGGGGCTAGGCTAATTGGTGTGTGTCGGAAATATTTATTATTATTATTATTCTTTGCGATAACAATAGAATGACAAAACATGAGACAGAATGGGAACGTAAGTTATGAATGAGCTTGATAAGAAACACAGTTCAAATAGTACTATAACATACAAGCAAAACTTTGCTTTCTTACAGATGTCAATTGTGTTTTAATTTTTTACAAGCTTTTGTAGTTGGCAAGATTGATATTGTGACACTACTAGTACTACAGTCTCTTTACTCAAATCTAAGAAAACATGATTGTCCCAAGTATATTTGTATTAAATGGAAAGATTTTTTGCCATATCTTAAAATTCATAAACCAATTTTAACCGCTTACAATCAACAACAAATATATTTAAAAAAAATAAAAATGTCACCTGATCCTCCAGAAATATTTGATTGGCTTTGTGCACAAGATTCTCCACGCCGATCATGGCACCCAGATTCTCCACAGCTTTATATTCAACTACTAAAGTCAACACCATCAGGGCTTCGACCACCAACTGCCTGTACTCCGGTTGTGGTATAGAGTTGAGAACTGTCTCCACGGCGAGTGCGAATTTTAACTCTCCGGACGTCATCTCTTGGGTGAGATTCGGTTGGAGGATCTTCCCTTGGATCACTAACCCTTGACACTGTAACGAGAGGTTTTATTATTTACGACCAGTTTCAATAATCAACCGCCAGTATGAGGTAAGGATGATCTGAAGAAGAAAATATTCATCATCATCAGCCTATTAATGTCTCCACTGCTGTGCACAGGCCTTCCCTATGGATGGAATAAGGAGATTGGGCCATGACCCACCACGCGGGCCCAGTGCGGATTGGTGGGTGCTGACGACTGCAGATGCAGCCGGGACGTAACGTACTTTCCGAAGCACGGAGGAGCTCGAGATAGAAAATTTTTGGTCACCCATCCAATGACCGACCACTGCGAAAGTTGCTTAACATCAACGATCGCAGCCGAACGCGCTAACCACTTGCGCCATCGAGCTCCTTTATATTCTCTGCTCCTTTATGAGATAAGAAGAAAATATTACCACGCCACGCCACGTCTTCGCATTGTAGGTAAACCACAATTAAACCCTTAATGCTCTCTGCATAGGATTATGTCGTGAAATTATATACAGTAGAATGCCGATTAACCGAATCGCCAATTATCTGAATCGGTCCTAAGCGTAATATAAAAAAATTAAAACCAAGTTTTTTTTCTTCTGTTGTAACAAGTTGGAACTCGCTGGGGTCCTATTTCAACTGTTATGGTTGAAAGCTAGAGGCGAGACAATACATGTTTTGCGTCGCGCGTTGTGTTTTTTTTGCTACTATGGAACTCTATTATTGTATAACTGTGTTTGATAAACTTACTAAGGTTAATAGGGAAGATGCAATATTTTTATTTTTGTTTTCATTTTAAAGAATCCCATGTAGAATAAACCACAGTTAAATTAAAAAATTAAAACATTGTAATTTATCGGAAAATGTGCAGTTTTAAATTGACAGTTTCAATTTTCGCGCGAAAACGGACCTATGGTTCCGATGACGTCACTCCTGTCTGTCACTGGTCGTACTTGTTCGTCGCTGGCTTTCAATTTTCATACTTTTCCATATTTTTTCGACTTTCGAGATATTTTTTTGTATAAAATTAAAATGGACTATCCTTCAACATCAGGTGATCATAATAATACCACTAATATTCCGAAAAAAAGCCGTTTTGACTCATGTTTGTGCCAATGTGTCCATCTACTTCAATAAAGGAGAATGGTCATTTTACTTTGGGAGTTGGGCTAAGTTTTTTTCATTGCGTCTTATTGGAATAAGTGTACAACAATAGGGAATCAGGTGTATATTGCGTAGGAAAAATATCATTAGAAACTTAAGTAGTGGTTTAAAGAAAATATTAAATTACGTAAGCATTTTAAGGTTATGTCATATTTAGATTCGATTAAATTCGATATTTATACCATACTTAATTATTACTAGGTATACTACTTTAAACTGTATTTAATTAGGTTGTGACCTTTTGTCTTCTATTTTGGACTGGGAGTGAAACAAAAATTGAATGCACTTCGTAAAATCTTATCAACGGGCAGCGTATATTTGTAAACTGTTGCGTTGGTGAGCTGCTATCTATCTCTATTTATTCCAAACATCTCAGATTCAATAAATGTGGCGTTGTTGAGGTGCGGTTATATTAGTGCTATTTATACTTATTCTCTTTACGCTCAAGCTGCACCTTTGATGCTCTGTTAACCCAACAATGGATATAATATTATTTAAGGTTTAGGAATCAAAAATAAATAAGACAAAATATTTTAATAATGATAATCATTTATTGATAACACATTTATCCAAATCGACATTATTAATGTGATATTTTTATTTTATATTTTTGGGGTTATGCCGTATCCAGTGAAACTGTAGTGACTTCGCCTAAAATATCTTTTGTAACTCGCCACCATGTCCTGTTGAGTTTGAAATATCCAGTTAAAGCTCTGCTAAGTTCAATTAATACAGCAGTTTAAACATTAAGCGTGCTCTAATCCTGGTTTATATATTGCCTTTTTTTAAAAAAGAATTGACTATACCTTCTTCAAATACCTCATCTAAAAATGTAGCTGGAGCATGTGTATCGTTAAATCGCCCCCAGCTAAGGTACCAAACTACCGTCATTACGTGTGCGCAACATCCTACTGTCCTTTTGCCTACAATACAACTGCAGCAATAGCCAACTAAACAACTTAGTGAGTTGGCTATATTGGTGTCACGGCTGACTAAAATGTAAACAAAATAGGTGCGTCCACCAACGTGTCTAGACTTAATACGTCCTCTAAGCAGATAATTGTTTAAACCTAATACAAGGGGAACATCTTCATCTATTTCTGTATTTATTTCTATGGAATATATCCCAGACGATCGAATATGTTCCCCATAATATGATCGCGCCTGCTTTAACTGATAAGTGCCTAATGCAAAGCGTTTTAAATCAGTGATGCTTAAACTGGGAAAGGTTTCCAAGTGAGGATGATTGCCATCAATTGCAGAAAACATTGCACGTCTTCTGTTAAGATTTTGAGTTTCTACAAAACGGCCAAATGATTGGACTCATTAAGCCGATTTTGAGCAATAGCTAGAAATAATAATCTGATGGCTATTAGCATTATCTTAAATTATCGCAAATTGATAATTTAACATCTAAATTTTTTCAGATGATTATAGAAAAGTAGTATGGCCTCTTTTGGTTGGAGTAACACAAGAAGAAATGACAGAGCCACCATCACTCGATGATCTCTCAACACATGGAGAATATAACCAGGTATGTAGTTATCTTTATTTTCGCCTACTTCGAAATTGTCAATTGATATAACTTTCATAAGTTCAAGTTATTAAGACTAACTAGCCTTATTAGGATGAATTTATATAAAACTCATACTAAGGCTCATATTACAGAATGACAATTAAGTGTTGATCTTTACTTGAGTACAGTTAGAAAGGGATGTCGCTATGTGCTATATATAACAACATCCCTTTCTAACTGTACGCAAGTGAAGATCAACACTTAGTTTTTGTCTATTATTAAAATCAGTTTATGGATTGCTCTTAATATTTCTGCTAAAGGCAATCTACAATAACTTGGTGCAAAATTAGAACTTGTTTTATCCTGTATGACTAATAATAATGATTGTATTATTAGGTGGTGTTAGATGTGAACCGTTCTTTGAAACGTTTTCCTCCTGGCATACCTTATGAACAACGTGTGGCCCTGCAAGATCAACTGACAGTGCTTATCCTAAGGGTCATTATTAAGCATCCAGACTTGAAATATTATCAGGTAATTATTATTTTCTTTATTCTGCATAAACTTTAGATAAATTTAAGCCTTTATTAATACTAGCAGCCAGTAACAACTCCATCTGTGTTAACATTAGTTTTTTGAGAATCCCTCGGGAACCTAACACTTTTCTGGAATAAATAGTATCCTATGTCTCAATCCAGATAATAAACTATAGGTGCCAAATTTCAACCAAATCCATTCAGCCATTTTCAAACTTTTATATTTATAATATTAGTAGAATAATGGATTGTGTTTTTATAAAAAATGGTGGTATAAAGCATATGGCCTGCCTGATGATAAGCCATTTAAATTGTAATTAACATCTACTTTTATATGTAGTAAGTTAATATGATAAGAATAGTGTTATATCTATATCAGAAAACTAATTTTATCTGTCAACAAGATTAAAATTGTGTTAGTGTATTTTTTATGTTTGTTTGTATTATTCATTATGTACACAATAATTATCATTTTGCATAAACTAGAATTTATATATTTAGAATTTATTCATAATGTCATACCTATGACAGTGATGTTACAATATCACTGTCTATGTTTCAATATTTTGGTATATGAATTTATGCATCTGTTGTTCATGCCTTATTGTTGTCTGTATTGATTGGATAGAAATAACGGCCTTATCATATTAATTTGAAATTCGTTTTGTTGATAATTTCCTGTACATTCACAATGATCTTTGAATATGTTACTAATGTATTCACTCAAGCATTAGTACAATAACAGGTAATGCCATAATATATATAATAATTAGGAAGTAACAAAAAATTATTTGTCAACAATCTCATTAGTATTATCAGTAGCTTGATGACTCCTTGGTCAATGGGTTTGGTCTGCAATTGTAAGAGTTAATTAATTTTAGAAAGGTCAGTTCTCACATGAGTGACTTTTATCTCTTCTGTCAACTACAATCGTAAATCTGTATTAACACACTGAAATATGACGTGGGAATGGTAAAACATATGTTTTACTGCAAAATCTGATAATAATGAAGAGAACATACTCGCTTGCTTCTGGAGGATCCTGTATTAAGGGATGAAACTTATTTAACAGAGCACATGCAATTCTTAAATCATCTTTTAAATGAGTTGCAGCTCTGTTATAAAATACATGCCTGAACAATCTAAAATCTCGTTTTATACGTCCATTTACTATTTCAACCACCCAGCGACACATTGTTACAAATCTAGATTTGTTAGCCTGAAGGGTAGTGAGTTGATGTTCACCATCTAATAATGATTCAGGCATGTAAGCTTTAAAACCAAGATCCTCCATAAATTCAATTACGTCCCGAAACCCCCTATCCAGAATAAAAACATCATCCTGCCGGAAAAATGAACGCAGTTTTCCTTCTTCATTATTTAAATCATGCCTTGTTATTGAAGCATCATTAGTGGTTGCTTTATAGGGACCCATACAATCTATAATATATCCATCACAACACACAACCATAAAAGGTTTAACTAAATTATCAGATTTTTGTAAACTATATGATTCTTTTTGAAAACGATAATTGCTGCTGCTCTGGACAAATATATAAGTTGCGCCACACATAACAATAGCGGGTTTAATATCATTTGGTAAGATTGGATTACCAAACAATCCCTCCGGGATTATTTTATTTCTGCTGGCCACTTGCTCCACATTTTTCTCTCCAAGGTCCTACGAGACATTTGAAAGAGGGAACTTAATCGTTCATTGCTGTCCCCAGTTCTTAACTTGACTATGTAAATACAGAGTGCTAAACGGGGATTTTTGACACTCTGTAATAAGCTTGGTACACAT